GGGGCCCGATCAATTATGTTCAGACATTCATTATAGGCATGCTATTGGCCTGCGCTGTACGCTATCGGCCCAACGTATATCTGGGCGGCACTATTGGTCATCTGATCCTATGGTTTGGCACCGCATGTATTACTTTGGGTCACATGTATTGGCAGAGAAAAATGATCATGCCTGGATTTCAATACGCAGAGGGCGAACAACTTCTCTATTTAATCATTCATAAACCCGTATATCTAACGTGGTTTGCATGGCTTATATACGCCACGTGTACCGGAAGGGGAGGTTTGTAATAATACTGAATTTTAAGTTAATTAATTAAAATTTTGTTTTTAGGTTATTTTTCTGAAATACTCGGTTGGAAAGGGTTTAAAATAGTAGATAACATGTCGCTCGAAATCTATATTGTAAGGCATAAGATATAATCTATTTTATAAATATTAAATTAACCACATTTACTGTACATTAAACAGATGCACTCATTTGTGTTCGTATATAGGATTGGTATGCAAAGAGAGCACCGGACATACAATGAATATTATATTGTATGTATAATTTCATTAATACTATAATATTATTTTCTAAATTTTTATATTGTTTAATAATAACACAAATGTAGTGGTCGTCAGCGATGGCAGACTTCGTGTTTAGTTATGTGATTGGAGTGATCACAGGATTTCTGGTGAGCCGTCCGTTTGCGGCGATGACCACAGCATTGCTTCGTCCGCCACAACGCGTCCCCAAAGCAGTGGTCAATGAGGAGGGATTGGACGCCAAGAATACCCATAATAACGATATTTTGGCCGAAAATAATGCTAAAAATGGATTATCAATACTTACCGTTGAAGACATCGCCAGTTTGAATGTCATTCACCATAATTCAGATAAAATTGTTTATAGGATGTAATAAATGATTATAATTATGTTAAAATTTTGATAAATTTAAGTTGATTATGTATTGAATATTTAAAATAATAATATTAACTCGACTGTTATTTAGATTTATTTGTTATAATTCCATATAATTCCATATTTGTTATAATTCTTTATAAATGTCTTAATTTGAGCAATGTAAATGTTTAATTAGAATATTTGAATTAATAAAATATATTTCTTGTTGAATGTCTAATGTAATTAACATGTTTTGCAATTCATTTTTACCTATAAATATATTAAGCTTATTAATTGTAAACTGAATAAATTATAAAATTTAAATTATTGAGGTTACATTAATTAATCAATATTAAAATTAATGTTGGTGTATTTTAAGTAAATTGTAGGTAGCTAAATGTAAATTCTTATAGGATTGATGGTATTTTGCTGTACAATAAACAACTTTATACAAAGTAATAAATTATGAATTTAATCTAACCTGTGAGCATGTTGAAAATTTGGATCACGTTAATAAGTTGTAAAGTTAAAAACATTTTGAGCAGTTCATCACAAGTTGCTATAAAACACACATATTGACAGGAAAATAATAGTTTAGTACAGTTGAACAACATTAATGGTAAACCTAAACAACAGTTAAAACTCGTTATTAGTCATTATTCGTTACGTGACTCTCTCTCTCATATTTTTTCGCGCCAA